GCTGTACCCTTGTTGGGATAAAAGGACCCGCTTCCAGGTCTATATCCACGAAGAGAGCGATATCGTTCGTCTGGAACTGCTAATGCCGCCGGCTGCAGTCAAATATGAGAAAGTCGATGCTATTAAAAAGTAAGTGAATACAATGGCCGAATTTGAAAACACACTCCACTCCGATCGTGTAGGCGGAGACTGTCAAGCATTCCGCCTTGACCATAGATGCACCTTCTCTTTGCCATTTGCCTTTTAGAAGCAAGAGTGCGTTACTAGGAGGGCACAACGGTTGACTTTCTCCGCCTACACAAGCTACGTGGACCGTGCTCTAAATGAAAATTTAGGGCAATCGGTGACGCAACAGGTCTAAATGTGCTCGTGAAAGACCTGCAGTATCATCACGAAGAGGGATCACTCATCTACGATATAACGGATCTTCGATTGGTTAGTGAAGCCCAAAACCTCTTGGAATCTGATACCTTTCGTAAAAATACTACCTTTACTGTATAATTACTTTGTAATAATGGGCAACAACTATTTGATGGCTCAAAGTGCATAGAGGGGAGGGTTTGCCCCTCAACTTCCACCCCGAGAATTTTCGATTGCCTTCATCATTTTGATCACAAGTTGTACTGATGCCTTCCAGGTGCTAGTGAATCGCACAACATCGGAAATCATCCCAGCCGAGAAAGCCATAGCGATTGCGGACAAGCATCGATCGGATATGGGACCACGAGTGCCGAATATGACCAAGGCGCAGGTGGGGCGATTAAAGAGCGATGGTCAGGAGACCCGAGTTGCGGCGATGCGCCGAGAGTGGCATTGCAACTTGTGCCATAGCAGGAAATAGTGTATAACGGAGCGTCGGTTGAAGGCGTTCCTGCATCCTTACATTTTAGCGCGGAGCCAGCCCGTCGCCATCAGTCATTGCTATCAAGGGGCAAGCAGTCTTTGACTAAAAGAGGCTAACGCTGCGCCAAGACCTAGGACCGGCTCCACCCGACACCCCGATCACACTGTATGTACTCCGGCTTACTGCGAGTGATCATTCCGCCGCGCGCGCCGGATCTATCAGTTTCTGCGTGTCGAGGCAACTCGGGTCTCCTGACTCGCATCTAGCAGGCGGACGCTTTCAACAAACTCATTTTTCAATACTTCAGGTGACTTCTTCGCCAGTGCTGCATCAATCCATTCCTCCACTCGCCTATGTGCTCTCAGTTTTCGCTCTTTCACTTACGATGATTTTCATGATATTCGGATTCATGATGTGCCATTACAGAAACAGGTACTGGTAAAACATTGACGGGTGTAGGGGAGCAGTTTTAGCACAGGTCGGCAATCTGTTAAGAATAAGGAGGTAGTTAACACGTTGGGCTACGTTCAGACTTGGCGGTGACGAGCGTAGGCGCACCACGGCGCACATCATCGCTAAGTCTGAACGCTGCTCTGATGAGATGGCGTTAATGGAGAGAAAACCGCTATCGCATCATTGTTGCTGACCTCATTGACGCGTTTTGTGGCGTCATTGACGCGCCATCTATCTCTATCAGTAGTATGGGCGCGTATCATGGGCCAATAACTCGATGTCCTCCCAGCTAAATGGACGATATCTCAGGTTCAAACGGGAGAAGAAGCTCCGAGAAGACGACGTCATCATCGCCAACACTCTAGTCAGACCACCCGTGAGGCCGATATCGATGTCACCCATGATGCCTACACAGTAAGATCACATTTCCAGCACTATCCCTTCTTATTGCTATATCCCCCTGAAAGTCTGTAGTGTAGTGAATGAATATCGATCGACTGTGTCCAAGTAGAACTTTTTTTCCAGCAAATACACTCCACATCTTCCGGCTATCGACGGGGAATACGGTGTACAGGAGGTGAAGATGGTGGTCGGTGGCGGTGATGATAAACACCGACGGTCGAAACCTTGGTAAAACGTACCATGTAAATCGTGCCTTGTCCGATCCCAAATATCCATTACCGGTGCCAAATGTTTCACATTCCGTAATAATAATGCATATTTTCATAAAGACGTTAATAAATGTTTCAAAATTGGAATTTTTTTGACTTGTTTATGCTCACAAGCAACATCGGCACTAATAAACTTGGAGGGACCCCGGACCTGGGGTCGGCGGACTCAGTGTTAAGCTGGGAATATCATTCGGACGAAAGTACCTTACTCTCGAGTGGTTCACTCACACCGGAGCTTGAAGCAGAGGCAAAGGTCCTCACCTTCAGTACGGTAATTCCAGTCAGGGCACGTCCCGCTGCTGAGGAAAATTTCCGGAAAATACGACCCCTGGATCCTTCCCTTAATACAACCCCCCCATACCATTCCATCTACCATTTTCCAAGATTTTCTCAACTTTTCTCAACTGTCTAGCACATGCGAAAAGGGAAAAACTGCGAGTAGCCAATGACCGGAAAAAATTATTTCTCATGCCGCAAACTTCTTCCAAAGGCAAAAACGACCTCTCTCGCTGGAGATATCCCAACGTACGACGGGGTCTGATTCTACTGGTGCGTAAGAAGTCTTTAAATACCCTCACAAGTGATGCAGTCTCGCCTAGGAACAAAAACAGGCGCTGTTTGGTCGAAGGGGCGCTTTGCCCGCTGGCTAGTTTCTTTGCTAGTTCCTGTTGAATGATTACACCTCTCACCTCAGTAAGACCTGCAGACTCTTGTCAGCTTAAGTGAAGCTCCACCACCCCATAGCCTCAAGAACTTATAGTTCCCCACTGAAGACAGTGATCAATGAAAACCAGCAGGCTGCTCCACCAACATGTGAGTCAAAAGCAGAAAGAGGATCTGGGATCTTTTAAAATATCTTTCTAGAGTGCACCACGCGTTCTACATCTGTTCAGAGTCGTTAGGCACCTCGCTAACTCAGGCATTATATTTACAGAAACCACGCGATGAACCAGAACTGTTTTGTCCTCCCAGGCTGATGTTAGTCGGCTATAGTGTGTAGAAAGTCTGATTGTCTCTAAAGGGGAAGCAATCGAGAATTTAACCTGGGGATCGTAGCGTGCTCCACCAAGTGCACTGCACCACATCCTCAATCCATGGATTGTTGGAGCCCGACAGCAGGGACACAGGGCACGTCCTACGTTGAGGAATCCCCAGCGGGGCGGTCGTATTTAGTCGCTGGGGGGATCGTATTTGTCTTCAAGAGGAGCTTGGTGCGTTGGAGATAGCCCTCAGATTGATGTCGTGTCAGAATAACTATATCTTCTACTATTTTCGAGAGCTGACTTTCCCCACCCCCTGCGAACTAGAAGTCAAATGCTATATTGGGCTCCAGCTCGCGGCTCCCGCCAACGAAGCATTCACTTTTTAATAAACGGCAAACAGTCAGATTGGTACAAGCGTTTCTGGGAGGAAGAGTACGCGAGCTATATTCGCAAATTCATTGCCACATCCTGAAAAGGAGTAGGTTAGTGGCGGAGACTTTATTCCTTCGCACATAATGCCTTAGAGTCGAACAAGCTCTGTCCGATGCGTTTTAGCCACGCCTATAGGCCTTTCTTAGGTGATTCGACCAAAAAAGTAGAATCCATACTGTGATGAACTCCCGATCTTATGTTCCCAAACCAAACTGCGTCTTCTCTCTTAGATGGGTCATCTGGCGTCCGATTCATCTTTCGAAGTTGGAATCTTGAGCCGTAGACTGATTCGCCATGCAATAGCTCAGTACGGAGCCATTGCTTTCACATAAGAACTCGAATGACCTGCATACCCTGATAGATTAATTTTTATAACCCTAAGGCTAAACTGGCCTCAGGGAATGAAACGCAAAATTGAGTAGGTAGATCGTTTGATTTCATATTACGGTTATGATGTTCGAAAGAATGGGAGGAGTTTCGGAGGAGTAGTTTGGTTTCATGCGCTCTTAGACGAGGACTGAACGAGATGCTTCATCCTGCCTTTGTATCAGGCATCAAAAGAAAGGAGAAGAGGGTTCTCATAGTGATAGTTGCTGATGTATACATGCATAAATGAATGTGAGTGACTTACATTTGTGACAGGTTCGTTGTCAAATAAGTCAATAGGCTCGTGAGGGAATCATGGCTCGTTGTGGTTCCGCCATGTTTCTCATCTTTCTTTTTCTTTTTTCCAAAAGTTCATGGATACTTCAAAGAGTAAAATTGACAAAATGTTGAAAGATTGTCACAGCAACTACTCCCAGGTTGTCATTGTACAGATGGGAATAGACCCGTTCCCGTTGTTAGTGATTTCATTTCGTTCTTGGTCGCTCTACTTGCGTAAGCACACGTCTTTGAACTG